ACCATGCGTGCAAAGGCTGTTTGCAATCGTTACGCCTACTCCCTCTCCAGACTTTGTGTCTCCACTCTCTGCTGAAAGAGAGGTCACTGTGCCCTCAAAGCTGTCTGAAACCATTTCCATGGCATCATCTGATGTTCCCAAGTGGTTGAGAGCTTTGTTCGTGGTATTCCCAGAACTCTGACTTTGGTGGTGACGCTCCAGGCTCCCCAGGTCATCATAGGTCTGACCGCAGCAGCCACAGATGTGTCCATAATCAGCTCCCTCCAGAGCCTCCACCTCCCGCTGCAGCTGATTCAACAGCTCTGCTTCCGAGAGCTGCAGCGGGGTGCTGTGGGTGGAGGCTGCCGCTGCTGCTCCTTCCTCTTCCCCCTCCTCCTCCGAGCCCTCAGTCATACCAGAGGAGTCATGAGCCTGGCGCCTATGAAGCCTGTAGCCAGCCCGCCCAGGAAAGATCATGCCACAGAGGCAGCACAGGAAAGGCTGTGCTGGGGCTGCCTCCCCCGGCCCATGGTTCTGGAAATGACTGCGCAGGGCAGGCAGAGAGTCAAACTCCTTCGGGCAGAGGGAGCACTGATAGATGCCTGGTGGATGGCAGGGCCTATGGCTCAGCAGGCTAGTGGCATGGGGGAAAGAATGTCCACAGTCGGAACATGTGTGGGAGACCTCAGCCTGCCAGCTAGTAACAGCTTCAGCAGAGTGGAAAGAGGAGCTGGGTTGGCCAGTGGCTGGTTTCTGATCTTCATCTACCCTGGTGAGGCTATCACAGAAGCGAGTCCCATTGCTTTCATCGCCTGGGATGTCCGAGTTGTTAAGGAAACAGGCCTCCTTTCTTTCCAGTCCTTCCTCAGGACCTCTGCTCTCTTGATTGCCCTGGACACAGGCCTCATCCTTCTCAAGCCCACATTTGTCCCTTTCAGCTTGAGCCTGCAGACAGTCCCTATCACTTTCTAGATTGCCTTCAGCTTCACTAGGACTTTCCCCTGAAGGGTTCTGGGGACAGTTCAGGCCCTCATTGTCTTCTGCCAACGCCTGGGCCCAGTTCCTGCCTGACAGGAATTTGGTTTCTCCCCCACCTCCAGCACCGCCAGCCCGCTTCCGGTGCCGCCTGCTCCGCCGCCGACTGTGGCATCGCAAATGGTTCTTCATGGCAGCCATGGTGTGGAAATGCTTAGAGCAGGCACCACAGTTGAAGTCCCCCGTCTGGTGGGTCTGCCTGTGGTTGATAAGGCTGCCCGAGTGGCGATAGCTCTTTCCACAGTCTCGGCAGGCAAATGCCCGAGGAGGTGACACCCTGGCTTCTGTCCTGCTGTTTTCCCCTTCCCCATGGGTATGGCAATGATGTTCAAGGCTCTCAGGGTCTTCAAAGAGCATCCCACATATGCTACATATCTGTGGCGCTGTCCTATCTGCTGCTGGGGGACCATCGGTGGCCTCTTCATGTTTGCACCCATTTCCCTGGTCTGTACATGGGGCTGCCTCTGTTCCAACCAAGTCAGGTGGGAGCTCCACCTTGAGGTGGCTGGAGGAACCTTCAGCCTCTGGGCCTGCACTGCGGCGAGCAGACTTGCAATGGACCCGCACATGGTTACGTAGGGCCATAAGGTTGGGGTACTTGCGGGGACAGAGTGAACACTGGTACTCTCCTGTCTGATGGCTGTGACGGTGGTTCACCAGGCTCCCGCGATGGCGGTATGCCCGACCACATTCATTGCATTTATACGGGCGATGGTCCAGGGTGGTGGTGGGGACCTCTCTTTCTTTGTGGGTGGTCTCAGCCAGAGGCAAGGGAGCTGGCGGCACTGATGGCTGCCCATCCTCCCCAGCTCCTTGCCGGGGTCTGTGATGGGCCCGCACGTGGTTTTTGAGAGCAGCTGCGTTGAACAGCTGCTTAGAACAGATGGAGCAAGGGTAGACACCTGTCTGGTGGCTCTTGCGATGGTTGATGAGACTCCCTGCATGGCGGTAAGTACGGCCACAGTCTCCACAGCGAAAAGGTCGGTACTCCTCCACACCACTGTCCTCCAGGTCCCCAGAGCCATTCAGCATCAGTGTATTAGAGAGCTGGTCCTGGCTGCTCTCATCTGTGTGCCCGTTGGAGGCTGGCAACCCTTTCTCTTCCCACAGCTGCTCCTGCCTTTCATTTTCATGGGACTGCTGGTGTTCCAGCAGCTCTCGGGGGAGCCGGAAGGCACGGGGGCAATGGGGACACTGGTAAGGCCGATACTGGGCATGGAGTCGGGAGTGGTTCTTCAGGGCCATGAGGTTAGAGAACTCTTTGAAGCAGATGGCACAAGGGTAGATGCCCAGTGTGTGGCTCTGGCGGTGGTTGGTGAGGCTCCCAGCATGTTTATAAGTCTTGCCACATTGACTACACTTGTACCGCCGTTCCTCCTCAGCAGGAGGGGACTGAGTGGGCTCCTGGCCGCCTGTGAAATTCACCATTGATTCAGCCAAATACTGTTCCAAATTGCTAAGGAGGCTGTTGGCTGGATTGGGGAGTGGTGTGGCTCTGGCAGAATTGGTGGTGGGCCCCCAGCTCTCTGCACCCTCCTCAAGATTTGGCTGGCTTTCCCAGCCTTCTCTTTGTCTAGTGGGTGGAACTTCCCAAGTGCCCAGAGCTGCCCCAGGGTCAGGCCCAGATGCATAGACAGATATCTCTTCAGCACATTTTTTCTGGTTTCCGCAGCTTTCCCCATGGCCAAGCCTCTGGCCCCAGGAGTCAGTGGCCACTGTTTCCCCCTGAAGGCGTAGGGTGGCTTCCTTGGGGTAGGGAGGCTTGCGCCTGCGGCGGCCCTCAGGAACATGAGTCCTCATATGGCTCTTGAGAGCCATAGGATTGGTGAAATCCTTGCCACAGGTGGTACATGGGAAAAGGCCAGTCTCGTGGGTCCGACGGTGGTTGACCAAACTCCCTGGGTGACGGTAGCCCCGCCCACACTGCTGACAGCGGTAGGGCCGAGGGATGCTGTCAGCCTCCTCACTGTCCTGGTTAGAGGATGGATGGAGCAATTCTCGGTGCCTTGACAGTTCTGGAAGGCTAGGAAAGTGGCGCTGACAGTCACAGCAGCTGAGTAAGGTGGGTGTTTCCTCCATGGGGCAGTGTGGCAGAAACCTGGAGGTTCAGGAAGAGCAGGCAGATGGCAGCAGCATCTTCCTCTGGTGGTGGGGCAAAGGCCTAGGAAGAGGGGGCAGTGGTCAGAAGGAAAGCTTGAATTAACCTTGCCTCTTGGCTCTGTAGGCAGCAAGTTCACCAGAGATCATAAAGAGGTTCCCCAAGCAGCAATGCCCAGGGACCTGTTTTCTACTGGATCTAATCTGGAAGCACCTTCATTTCAGGCCTCCCTGCACACAAGCTCTCCAAATATGGGAGCTTCCCTGGGCCTACTCATCCCTTGAAGTATAGATAAGGAAATTTAAGACTACAGGGATGTAACCTACCTCTGATCGCAAACCTATTAACCTGTTTTTCAGACCAAATCCAAAGTCTTACCCTTTCCTATCTAATATTCTGAAACAATCTATTTCCTGAGACTTAAAAAGAAACCTGAACCTTTTCTAGGACGTTCAATAAGAGATGTCCAATCCTCTCTCCTTCACTATTCAGCTAAACAGAGTAGGCTACTGGAATTGAAAAAGCAACTTCTTTCTACAGCTCACAGATAAGAGACTGAGAAGTAAAGTTAGGGGCCTCCTTCAGAGAATGGGCTGGCTTGTTCCCCCACATCCTCTATTCCTTTCAGGGTCACGAGGTCTCCTTTCTAAAAGACTCTTGGCCACTTCCTTCACCTACTTCCCCTCAACCCAAACTAAATTGTCATGGAAATTCCATCCCATTTCTGGTTGTTCTTCACCCCCTTTTTCTTTCCCACACCTCCTCACTATACCCTCACCACCCCTTCTCATTTTTTCTTCTACCTCCTCTCATAATACTGATGATGACAGCAACACATGCTAATTGAGCATTACCCTGTGCCGGGCACATGCCAAATAAAGAATATTCACTGTGTCGCTCAATCCTCACAACAAACTGCAATGCCTGTTATCCCAGTTTACGCACAAGCAAACCCACTGATTCAAGGCAATCTCCTTTCCAATGACCTTGCCCTCTCCATAGCACGCCCCCGTGCTTTCTCTGACTCTTCACTCCCATTGGAACCCAATACAACTCCCTATCTCCGACTAACCACCTTCCCCCCCGCCCCCCCGCCACAACGAACCTGCTCCCTGAATTCTCACCTCACAAAACCTCTTCCCTTAAGAGTTCTCTCTCCTGATCAACCACCGAGGTCCTCTCGTCTTACTCATCTCCTGGGCCAATTTCCTTTTAGGACCCCCTACCTCGTACGGGTGGCCCCTCCTCGTTCCCGCCGTGGATGCGTCCGTTGGGGACCACGAACGGGAGCGCGCCTGCGCACTAGGACCCTCACCCTAACTGCAGCCGCGCGCCCCAAGGGGTGGCTGCGGGGGGCTCTCGCGCTCCCACACACGCACACTCCGCCAGGGCTCCTAGGAGGTGGGAAGGGAGAGAAAGAGACAAAGAAAAAGGGAAAGAAGGAAGGAGCTAGAGTAGAAAGGGCGCAGCTGGCAAAAGCCAAGAGTCTACCCCGAGCTCCGCGGACACTTCCTATTGTTACTAGGAAACAGGAAGTGTCCTGACCGCAAAAGCTTCCCCGCGAAACCTGCGCCCCAAAACACTTTCTGACCCACCTCCAACCAGCATTCTACACAAACACACTTCCGGCGCAAGAGAGAAGTAGCTAAAATGCGACTCTAACCCCGCCCATGTAGGTCAAAGCGCGGCGTCGTTTTGCACTAACCTTAGCCACACTTCCGGCAAGAGCAGCAAAATCGTTCCGGTTCACATTGACTGAGCTCAGAAGAGGGAAAAAAAGGGTTCTGCAGTCGTAGCCTCAGTACTTTGGCAACATTTTTTGTGGGGTTCCTTGAAAACCTTCCCAAGACATATGGAGGGAGCTTCATGTATTCCTCGCTGTTAAGTGGGAAATGTTGACTATAAGAGGATGTAGGTACTACAAAGCTTGAGCATGGGCTTTCTGTCCTCCCACCTTCTAGTTCTTGGGGACCCGGCCCCAAACTAGCAATACCCAGATATATATAGTAAGCCTGCCCGGCGTCTCCGGTCTTTTGCACCAACACAGACCCCTTGCAAGACGTCTCTCCACCGCCTTCAGTCAGGGGTGCGCGGGTAAACTTCGCCTTCCTCCCTAGCAGAGGAAGCTCCCTTCCACTTCCGCCGGCCGACCCCGCCTTCCTCCGCCGCTGGGTCCTAACGCTTGCCCCTCCCTGGCAGTGTCTTGGGCTCTGTCGGTGAGAGGAGCTGCCGCTGACTCCACGGAGTAAGCCTAAGTCCATTCAGGTAGGAAACGCCGGCAGGAAGCCGCGGGGATCCCCAGGCGACCCTAGTGTGGACGCAATCCGAGCGAACCTCAGTTTCCCTGTGGGAGCTGAGGGTGGATGGGGTTGGCCTGGAGCGAGCAGCGCAGGCGGGGCGGGAGAAATGCGGTCCTGGGAGGGCGCAGGCAGGCTCTGGGCCCAGCGGGTCCTAGAACCCGCCGGCTGTCCCCGCGGGCGGGCTGCTGCGGACGCCTGGGCTCTCCCCGCGCGGCTGCCTGCCTCACGCGGTGCGGGCTCGGGGGTCCTAGAGCCCTCCATGTCACAGGCTTTTGTCCCAGGCGTGGGACCCTCCTGGCAAGGGCCCCGGCGCCTGCTGCCCCCTCCCCGGCCGAGGTCCTGGCCGCCCCTCCCGCGGTCCTAGAGAACGCCATCTTGCAGGCCTTTGTCCAGGTCCATTCATTTGTTCATTCTGTCATTCTTCGTTCACTCTTTCTTGCCACGTTCTCCGCGGCCACATTTTCCCAGGGTTGTTCCGAGACGAGTCAGCCCCAGCCCTGTGGGGCTTCTCGCGGGAGCGCCGACACCTAGAAGGTTGCAGGGAGCGAGAAGCGCAGGGTTCTTACAGCTCTCGGCCTCTCCTCGGTGTGTCTCGTAGGCCCTAAAGCTCTTTAAACTCCCACGTACCTCAGCAATTGATTTCACTGACGAGAAAACAGGTTCAGTGCGCCGTGACGCCCTTACTTATACTGCCTATTAAGTATTTCCGAAGGCATTGGGAAAGCGAATATTTGAAGGATGCAAAAGAGTTTTCCCATGGGAGAAGGCAAGCAACTGCTCTCGAGGCAGAGGGCACTGTATGTGGAGCTGCATTTAGATGGCTGCAGCTTTAGTCTCTTGGGATGGGGTCACTGTCGCTGGAGCTGAGGCTGGTAAAGTAGCTTGGGATTAGATTGTTAACCGACCATTTTGGAGGCCTAGGAGATGATTAGCTCTCACCTCTGCACAGTTCCCCATCCTCCATCTCACCAAATCTCTCATAGGCCGTGAGGCCTTTTGGGTGACTATTTGTCTAGACATGGAGAGACCTAGGTGCAGAGAGAATAGAAAGTGGTTCCTTTTTTTCACCTCATCCCTGTTCGCAGAGTCCTGGTCTAAACTCTCTGGGAATTAAACCTCTACATGGGATGAGTAATGAAGCAAGTCTTCATTTTCCTCCTAAGTCAATAGTAAAGCAAAGACAAGTCCCCTTCACTAAAGCAATGAATCCACTGGGGGGACATAGGGGCGATATTTGGACCTTGAGAACTTGGACAGGCAGAGAAATTCAGTCATTAAATAGTTGTTGACAGACATTCTCACAAATGCCTGCTATGGCTGCAGGCCTGGGTTTGAATTCCCTCTCAGAGGTTAATTCTTTCAGTTTGTTTTGGGGTACCAGTCACAGTTCTAGGTGTAGTAGATACAGAATAATAAAGGTTCCTGGCTTTTGCCAGCCTAGACTCTTGCGGAGAATTAACAACCAAGCCGTAAAATGGGTAAGTGCTATCAAAGCAATAATCGGGACAGAAAGCAGAAGTTTGGGAGGCAGACCACCTGTCTGTGACCATGCTTGTGTGCCTCAGTATCCTCATCTGTAATACGGGAAAAATAATACTGTTTAACTTAGTCCGTTCAGGCCACCATAACAAAAAACCACAGATGTGGGGCTTAAACAACAGAAATTTATTTCTCACAGTTCTGAAGGCTTGGAAGTCCAAAATCAAGGTGTTTGCCAATTAAGGTCCTGGTGATGACTCTTTTTCTGCCTTGTAGAAGGCCATCTTCTCACTATGTCCTCACATGGCCTTTCCTTCGTGCATGCATACATTCAGTCCAAAGCAAAGTTCTAGGTAGTTGGGAGGCTTAGCTTGAATAGTACACATAAAATTCTTAGAATGATCTCTGGCCCATGGTTAACTTGTAAGGAATGTTGTCCATGTGGGCACCATAAAGAAAATTAAAGAGGGGAATAGAGAATGATCAGCAAGGGTACAGATATCATTAAAAATGTGGTCAGAAAGCCCTCTTTGAGGTGATAAGGAGTCAAGTCCCAAGTGAAACCAAAGAGATAGCTACACAAAGATCCTTGGGAAACAGTAGTTCTAGCAAAGGTAACTACTAGTGCAAAGGCCCTGAAGTAGAAAGGAATTCAGCTCTTTGAGGAAAAGAAAAGGAGTCTGTGTGGGTGGAGCCTAGTGAGCCAGGGAAGAGGAGTGGGAGGTGAGGTAGGCAAGAGTTAGATGGTTCAGGGACTTGCTGGCCATGAAAAAAGATACTGGTCTTTGTCCTAGGAGCAGTGCAAAGTCTCATTATTTGGCTAATAAACCTTAAGTAAATGAAGACTGGTGAGAAAGAGCCCAGCCCAGAGATCTGAAGACTCGAGTTTGTGTTTGGGCTCCTTGCTTAGTTATGAGTCCTTGTGCAAGTTTTTCCCTTTATGGCAATATAATCTCTACATCTGAAAACGAGGTATAGTAAAATCTCTCTTTCCTAGAAGCTTGTGAAGACCTATTAATGAGTCTTTGGTTCTTAAGTGTTGAATGTTAGTTGGAATGACCCAAAGTGTTTTCACAGTACAGATTTCTGAGTCCTGCTCCACATTTCATGGATGATTATTCTCATGCAGGGGGGTTCACAGACCTGACTTGGAGAAAATCACTCTAGGGAGTGGAGGATAGAAGAGTCCTCAGCAAACTGTGACTTGAAGAGCTAATGGTGGGGTTTTAGACAGTGGCCTAGACTACCTGGCCCTCTGCTCTTCATGGAGCTGGGCGCCTGCTGGAACCAACCTGGCACCCCCCTATTTTTCCACCTGGGAAGTGTCTTAGGAAGAGAGATTTACCCTTCTGACTATTTGGTTTCCAGTTCACAGATAGGAAAACTGAGGCACAGAGCTCAGAACCCATGGGATCCAGCCCTCTGAGAGGGAAACAAACAAAGTATTCTCGCTCTGGTCTCAAGGCAGTTCTACAGGGGCAAGAAAAGACAAAGGCATGACCCGAGCTCAGGGTCTGCTCACTGTGAGGCTGGCCCAGGCAATAGACCAGTCTGGAAGGGCCCAGATAACTGAGCAAGGGCCCAACGACCTATCTCAGGAAGCTATGAGAGAATTAAATAAGGAGCACTGTTAGCAGTGTCTGGGTCAGAAAAGACTCAATAATTGAGGGCAGTAATTATTCTTATCACATTGAATCCTCACTCAACTCTGTGAGGTAAGTTACTATTATTACCTCGGTTTTTCAGATGAGGAAACTGAGGTCCTACAGCATGAAGTAAATTGTACAACATCACAGCTAGGAAGGAAGGGAGGCAAGATTTAAAGCCAGGCAGTTTGGCTTCAGAGATGGTGTACTTAATTAAGCACAATGCTATATTGTTTCTCAGTTGGGCCTCAGTTCCCTTATCTGTGAAAAGGGAGTAATAATAGAACATTTCTCATGGTGTTGACATGAAGTTTAAGTGAGTTAATACATATGAAGAGCTTAGGATACTTATTTAACAAGTGCTCCGTAAATATGATTTATCGTTTTTTATTAAGAAGAAATTTTACCAGTCAGACTGTCTGGAAGGGAGGTAGTGAGTGCCTCATCCAGAGATAGAGAGAGATCCCCTGGAAGCTGAAGGGGGAATTCAAGCCTTGGGGAAGGTTGGGCCTTAAGCCCTTTAACTCACTTTCCAGGCCCAGAGTTTAGTGGGAAAGGTGAAAAAAACAAGCTGAAGGTAGTACAGAGTTGTGTGGGATTGGGGCCAAAAACCAAAGGGGAGATGCAGGAGATGCAAGAGCTTCCTGGGGGAAGTGGAGCTCAAAGGAAGGATTAGTAGGATTTGTAACAGCCAGGAAGGACCTGGGAACTTGCATGGTGTGATGGAAGCCATGGAAAGTTCTTAAGCAGGGGACAGAGCATCACACGATGTTTTAGGAAGAAGACCCAGCTGTCTGTGCAAACTAGATTATGTGTGTAGGGGTGGGGGACTGAGGCTACCAGGCAGAAGGGTGCTGACTCTAAAGATACAGCCTTTGCCACTTACTCCAGGGCCTTCCATGTCTTCCCTGGGTCGTAATTTAGAAGCCACCATCTCCTGAGGTGTACAGATGAGGAAACAGATTTAGAAAGGATCAAAGAATTCCTACCTCCCAGCCTAGCTTCTGGCCACACTTCTGGGCACTCCCACCTTGGCCACCCCCAGCAGCTGCTGCTGCTCAGCACTCCTTAAGTGGATCTGCTGTAATCCTCTTCCTTTCATCCCCCAGGGAGGATGAGCTGGTGTTAAGACTAATGCAGCTGTTAATCCTATTTCCTGATCCCCAGGAACAGCTGTGTGGAGGATGTCTGGTCTCTGAACTAAGAATGAAGGGGCCTCAGCTAGAGTGGGTGTCCCAGGTTTCTAACTGCTAGCAATGGCTCAAGCTGCCTTGAGAGTAATTGAGCTTCCCATGACCAGACCTATGGGAGCAGGAGCCCAACAGCGATTCCAGAGCAGAGGGCCGACCAGGATTCCTGTCTGGGGTGGAGTCCCTTACAGCTGTGCAAGGCCAGAATTCTGCGTGAACAGTTGCTGCCTCTGTAAGCTAATCAACTAGAGGAGAAAAACAAAATACATATGCCTGGGACCTATCACTTCCAGACAGATGGTGCCTATCACATTTAGCCTACTGGTTCTGCCCTTTTCTAGACCCACCTCTGTCTTTCCTGGGCAGAGACTTTCAGGCCAGACCCACATCTGGGTAGCCTCTTAAGGAGTGCTGGGCAGCCTTGCAAAGGACCCTGCATCTTGGCACAGGCTGAGCTGAAGAAGGAAGGATGGAACCAGGGCCTTCTGGGAATGCCACAGGATTTGGAAAAGCTCAGATTGGGGAAGGAAGTGTAGGTGGACATTTTAATGACTCTAGCCTTCTACCTTAGCCCCTATGAAGTCACCATGCCCAACTCCTTTCATCATCGAACAGACCAGAGAGGAAACTTGAGCACAGAGTTTCAGAGCCAGGAATGTTTGGAAGGAAGGATTGGGAGGTCCTGGGTAGGAAATGCAGATGAGATAGGGTTCCCAGGCCGGGCTTTGGTGAGGGGAGAGGCCTTGGAGAATGGAAAAGGGATGTGGCTTCTAACTTTGCTTCTCTCACAGAACTTTGTCCATCGAGGCCATGGAAGTGGAGTCTGCAGAGGCCCGGTCACCAGGCCCGGGTTACAAGCGCTCGGGCCGCCGCTATAAGTGCCTGTCCTGTACCAAGACGTTTCCAAATGCGCCCAGGGCAGCACGACACGCTGCAACACATGGGCCTTTAGACAGCGCAGAGGAGACAGGAGAGGTGAAGCTGAAGCCAGAGACAGAGCCCAAAGCCGAAGATGCCAGCGGGGACAAGGTGTCCGGTGCAGCGGCTAAACCCAGGCCTTTTGCGTGCCTGCTCTGCCCCAAGGCTTACAAAACGGCACCCGAGCTGCGTAGTCACGGGCGCAGCCACACTGGTGAGAAGCCTTTCCCTTGCCCCGAGTGTGGCCGCCGCTTCATGCAACCCGTCTGCCTGCGCGTGCACCTGGCCTCGCACGCTGGCGAGCTGCCTTTCCGCTGTGCGCACTGCCCCAAGGCCTATGGTGCGCTCTCCAAGCTCAAGATTCACCAGCGCGGTCATACGGGTGAGCGGCCCTACGCCTGTGCTGACTGCGGCAAGAGCTTTGCCGACCCCTCTGTGTTCCGCAAGCACCGGCGCACACACGCCGGCCTCAGACCCTATGGTTGCGAGCGCTGTGGCAAGGCCTACGCAGAGCTCAAGGACCTGCGCAACCACGAGCGGTGAGGGCGCCTGAAGGGGTTGGGAAGAGCAGGCCAGCAGGGTGGAGGTGGGACAGTAGAATCTGCCTTGTGACCAATGGGACCTGGGGTTGGGTCTTAAGGAGCGTAATGAGCCAATGGGAAGGTGAGTTTGGTGGGGCTATGGTGAGTGGTGAGCACGTGGGAGAAGCTGGTGCCTCTGCTTGGTGAGTGGGTGGGGCATTGCAGGGCTGGGCACACTGTCTTGAGATGCAGCCGTGGAGGATGCCGGTGGGGTCTGCTTAGCCTGGGTTCGTGGACAGCAGAAAAGGGCACAGGGCTTGAAATTGGGCCACTCAGAGGGTCCCTGGTGGAACCCAGGAGATGCGAGTTGGGCCTAGTATGTCTGGGTCTTTGGAGTGCAGAGAGGGATCTTTTCTGGAATCTAGACATCCAGCCTGAAGATTTCTTCTTCTGGGGTGCAGCCCTGTGGCTCTTAGGGGATTGGGCCAACACCCCCAGGATGTTAGAGGCCCCTAACTTACAGTGCATATAGGCAGCAGGGGTCAGGTTATGGGCCTGCCATCTTCATGCTGGGTTCCCCACACTCCCACAGGTCCCACACAGGTGAGCGTCCCTTCCTCTGCTCAGAGTGCGGGAAGAGCTTTTCCCGCTCATCCTCGCTCACGTGCCACCAGCGCATCCATGCAGCGCAGAAACCCTATCGCTGCCCAGCCTGTGGCAAGGGCTTCACGCAGCTCAGCTCCTACCAGAGCCACGAGCGTACTCACTCTGGCGAGAAGCCCTTCCTGTGTCCACGCTGTGGCCGCATGTTCTCCGACCCCTCGAGCTTCCGGCGCCACCAGCGGGCGCATGAGGGCGTGAAGCCTTACCGATGTGAGAAGTGTGGCAAGGACTTCCGGCAGCCGGCGGATCTGGCCATGCACCGGCGGGTGCACACAGGCGATCGGCCATTCAAGTGCCTGCAGTGTGACAAGACGTTCGTGGCGTCCTGGGACCTCAAGCGGCATGCTTTGGTGCACTCAGGCCAGCGGCCCTTCCGCTGTGAGGAGTGCGGGCGAGCCTTCGCCGAGAGAGCCAGTCTCACTAAGCACAGCCGGGTGCACTCGGGTGAGCGCCCCTTCCATTGTAACGCCTGTGGAAAGTCCTTTGTGGTGTCGTCAAGCCTGAGGAAGCATGAACGGACCCATCGAAGTAGTGAGGCCACGGGGGCTCCGCCACAGCAGGAGCTGGTAGTGGGGCTGGCACTGCCTGTCAGTGTGGCAGGCGAGGGCCCAACGGCCCCAGCAGCAGGTGCAGGGCTAGGGGACCCTCCAGCCGGGCTGTTAGGGCTGCCCCCAGAATCAGGAGGTGTGATGGCCACCCAGTGGCAAGTGGTGGGCATGACAGTGGAGCATGTGGAGTGCCAAGATGCTGGGGTTGGGGAGGCCCCTGGTCCCTTGGCGGGGGCAAGTGAGGTAGAGGGTGAGGAGGTTGATGAGAAGCCACCGCAGTTTGTGTGCCGGGAATGCAAGGAGACGTTCTCCACGCTGACGTTGCTGCGACGCCACGAGCGCTCACACCCAGAGCTCCGGCCCTTTCCCTGCACCCAGTGCGGCAAGAGCTTCTCAGACCGCGCTGGGCTGCGCAAACACAGCCGCACACACAGCTCCGTGCGCCCCTACACCTGCCCCCATTGCCCCAAAGCCTTCTTGAGTGCAAGCGACCTGCGCAAGCATGAACGCACCCACCCTGTGCCCATTGGGACCCCCACGCCCCTTGAGCCCCTTGTGGCTTTGCTAGGAATGCCTGAAGAGGGGCCCGTCTGAGGTCCATGCACCTTCATCTGCATTCTCAGGAGCCCAGCCCCCATAGGGTGCCTCCTGAACCTCCCTTTGCATCAGCTTATTCTTTAGACCCAAGATCCCTGCTCCCCAAGCAGCCTGCTCACCTTCCCAACAAAGATCTGGGGACAGTGGAGGCTGGTACCCACTGTTGAGAGACATGGCTCTCCCTGAATAACACTCATTAAAGCATTCACTTTTACACTGGGTTGTCTTCTGTGTTCTGGTTGGGGATAGGGGAGCAGAGTTTGGGCATCCGATACTGTTCAGTGGAGACCCCTGGATTGACAGATTAGAAACCAGAAAGGTGTATGGGTACATTGTTTCTCAAAGTATGTTTCAGAATGTCTTGTGACAAAGGGTTCCATGGTCAAATAAGTACAGGAAATTCCCTATGCCTTTCTTGGGGACTCTTGATCATCAAAAGTGCATTAAAGTCATTGAAGTCCTGCAATGAACAAATGCATATAGCTTTGTTTATCCCATATTTGCTTGACCACAGAAACCTTTTATCAAGTAGTTCTACTTCTGTCCTTTTACAGAAAATAAACTGAGACCCAAAATTAGTGGATTTCATATATACTGCAATAACAAATTAGAAAATATACTTGGGGAGAAAAGGTTCCCATTCACTACAACAAAACCCATTAACTACAGAGTAATAAACTTCACAAGACACATGCAAAACCTATATGAAGAAAATGATCTTTTAATCCTGAAGGATATAAGACCTAACTAAATGGAGACATATACCATACATCTGAATAGAAAGGTATTATTTAAGAATATTGATTCTCCCCAGCTTAAACCTTAAATTCATTGCTATTCAAAAAGGATTTTTTAACAGAACTTAAAAATCCAAAGTTCCTATACATTTTTTAAAAACAGTGGAGGTGATGTGTTTATATACCAGATAAGCACCAAAGCACTGGCATAGAAAACAGGTTTTGTGGGTTTTTTTTGTTTGTTTTTGTTTTTGTTTTTTTTTTTGTTTTTTGGCACAAGAATAAATCGGTGGAGTTGGAGAGGGTTCAGAAACAGTCCTTACTATTTCTGGGGATTTAGTTTGATAAATGTGATTATTCTAATCAGTAGATAAAAGATAGGCTGTTAACTAAATTTACAGTTATAGCCGTACTCTGAAAGACTGCATATCTTTTAAAGTAATTTTTCAAAGACCAAAATGGAAAAACAAAAATGAGGCCCCATATTTAGTATAAATTGATATGGCCTCTTGGGAAGATAATCGAATCACATTTATGAAAAAGTTGAACCCTTTGACTCAGCAAGTACACCTCAAAGAATTTACTTTTTTTCCCCCATTTCTGTGGCAAAATTGAAGGTAAAAGTGTTCAGTACAGCAAAATGTGTGACAGTGGAGCATCAATATCCATTAGCAAAGGACTAAGACTAGCCACTAAAATATATTATGTAGCTATTTTTTAAAAAATGAGGCTTATCAAGCTATATAGTTGAATGATATCCAAAAAATATGTCAAATGAAGAAAAAGTGAAAAGCAGTGTGGCCCATTTGGGCCAAATTATACATAAGCGCTCAAATTCCTACAGAATATTTCTAGAACACTCAAGAACTGATTCTAGAGTATAAATTCCAGCCACTAGGGCCTTTCACATTTATAAGCCAAAACAAAGCCAAAGGTCAGAGTGGACCAGATCCTCTTTTCCATGCTTTTATCATTCCTAGACTTCGAAGCCACCAAGTTGGCAGCTTTAGGAAATGACAAGTGTACAGCGTATCTTCAGGCCCAGGTGCCAGTCATGGGGGACATTATAGCAGCTGGCCCTAGCCCAGGACCGGTACACCAGGTAGCACCAAGAACAGAAGTAGTAGGTATTTCCTTAAGGTCAGGGGCCTCAGTGTTGTCATGCCCAGGCTTTGGGAGGAGCCCTCATTCCTGTTCTTCATAGAAGAGCAAAAGGGGTACATGGCAACAGAGAGTCATGGCTGCAGGAAGAGGGCACTAGTTTGGCTATGGACACTCACTGCCCATCCCCATAACCAGAGGACACTGACCCCAGGCTCCTGCTTGTTCAAGGTGGGACCGAAGTCTGAAACAAGTCCAGGAAAGAAACAAAGACTGAAACATGGGTTGGAAGCAGGGAGACTTTGGTTAGTACTGATTTGATGTGTAATTTTAAGTAAAATGATTTATTTTGGGAGTTGAGGAGGCATCTTTTTAAAATTTGTACAAAGATACCATATATACATATCAACAGATATGCTTGGGTATTTACCATGATGATTGAAGTAGAACCCATGGATGTTCAGAAGGGATCCACAATTTCTGCTCCCTTTCTGGGCCCAGATAACCCACCAGTTCTTTGGTCTCCCTTATCTAACACCTTAGGCATTCTATATCCCAGTTCCTGCTCACTGGGGACTCAAACAGTCTGACTTTAAAAAAAAAATTAACAGCTTTATTAAGATGTAATTCAGATACCATACAATTAACCTGTCTGAAGTGTACAATTCGGTGGTTTTTAGTATATTCACTGGGTTGTGCAACCATCACAATCTAGTTTTAGGATATTTTCATCCTCCTAAAAGAAACTCCATACTCATTAGCTATTACTGCTTATTGATAAGCCCCTACTCCTACAGCTCCTTTCCTTCAGCCCTAGTCAATCACTAATCTTATATTGTCTCTATGGATTTGCCTATTGTGGACATTTCATACAGGAATAATACAATACAAAGTCTTTTGTGATTGGCTTCTTTATATTCTTACATAATGTTCTCAAGGTTCATTCATGTTGTAGATTGATCAGTACATCATTTTATTGTCAAATCATATTCTTTTGGATATAACACTTTTGTTTATCCATTCATCAGCTGATGGACATTGGGGTTTCCATTTTTGTCTATTGTGAATAATGCTGCTATGAACATTCATGTACAAGTTTTTCTGTGGACATGTTCAATTATCTATATATTTCTAGAAGTGGAATTGTGGGATCATAAGATAACTTTATTGTTCAACCATCTGAGGAACTGTCAGACTGTTTTCCAAAGTGGCTGCACCATTTTACATTCCCACCAACTGGGTATGAATGTTCCAATTTCTTCACATCTTCACCAACAGTTGTTATTAAGTCTTTTTTTATTATAGCCATCCTAGTGGGTATGACTTTGTGGTTTTTATTTGCATTTCCCTGATGGCAAATGATTTTGAACATATTTTCATGTGCTTATTGGCCATTTACATATCATCATTGGATAAATGTCTATTCAAGTCCGTTGCACGGTTTTTAATTCATTTGTGTGACTTTTCACTGTTGAGTGGTAAGAGTTCTTTATATAGTCTAGACACAAGTTCTTCTGATTTGCAAATTTCTCTCCCATTGTTTGGGTTGTCTTTTTACTTTCTTGATGATGTCCTTTGAAGCACAAAAGTTTTTAATTTTGATGATGTCCACTTTATCTATTTTTTTTCTTTTGTTGCTTGTGCTAAGAAACCATTTCCTAATCCAAAGTCATGAAGATTTAGTATATGTGCTGCCAAAGTGAGCACAAGGTCATGAAGATTTATGCTTACGTTTTCATCTAAGAGTTTTATAAACATAAAGTTTATAACCTAGTTATAAATTTACAAGTTTAAAAATTATAAACTTTTAAAATAAACTATAAAAGTTTTATAGCTGAAAACTCTTAGATTTAGTTCTTTGATCCATTTTGAGTTAATTTTTGTATATGATTTGAAGTAGGGGGTCCAACTTCATTCTTTCACATGTGGATAACCAACTGTCTCAACACTATTTGTTGAAAAGACTATTCTTTCTCCATTGAATTGTCTTGACAACCTTGTTGGAAATAAACTAATTAAATTAGAGGCTTTATTCCTGGACTTTCAATTTTATTCCCTGGATATACCTGTTTATCTTTCCTTATGCCTGTACCACACTAGCTTTATAGTAAGTTTTAAAATTAGGATCTGTGAGTCCTCCAACTTGTTCTTCTATTTCAAGATTATTTTTGTTTTCCTGGATTCCTTGCATTTCCATATGAATTTTAGTATCAGCTTGTCAATATTTGCAAAAAAAGAAACAAAAAAGAAAAGAAAAAGAAAAAGAAGCTAGCTGAGATTTTGACAGAGATTGCATTGAATCTGCAGATCACTTTGAGCAGTATTGCCATCTTAAAAACATTAAATCTTCTGACCCATGAACATGGGATGTTTTTAGATTTTTAATTTCTTTCAATGGTTTTATAGTTTTCAGTGTAGAAATGCTACTGTTTTTTGTTAGATTTATATCTAATTATTCTTTTTGTTGCCATTATACATGGAATTGTTTCCTTTGTATCATTTTTGCATTATTCTTTGCTGGTGATAAGAAACATAATAGATTTTTGTACATTATTCTTATATTCTGCAACCTTGTTGAACTAGTTATTAGCTCTAATAGTTTTTGGGTCTGTAAATAGAGATAGTTTACTTCTTTTCCAATCTGGATGCCTTTTATTTCTTTTTCTTGCCCAGGCTAGAACTTTCAGTACAATGTTAATAGAAATGGTGGGAGCAGACATCCTGATCTCAGGGGCAAAACATCCAGTCTTTTACCATTTAAGTATGATGTTAGCTGTGAATTTTTCACAGATGCTCTTTGATTAACTATCAAGTTAAAGACATTTCCTTTTATTCCTAGTTTCTTACACTTTTAAAAATTATTATGAAAGGGTGTTGGATTCTGTGTCTATTGAAATGATAATGAGTTTTTTTGTTCTTTATTAATATACTGTATTACATTTAATTGATTTTGGATGTTAAAACCAACCTTTCATTCCTTAGATAAATCCTACTTGGCCATGCTGCATAATCATTTTTATATAGTGCTGGATTTGGTTTGCTAAGGGCAAAATTTTGTTGAAGATTTTTATATCTATGTTCATATTAAATATTGATCCGTATTTTTTCTTGTGATGTCTTTGTACATTTGTGTCATCTGGATGATGTCCAGACAGCTTGACTTCTAGCCCTCACTTTTCTTCTGCCCTGACTTCCTTTACCTTCCTCAGTCTCTACCAGGACTGTCCCAGGTAGTGAATGCATCTTGGGAATGCAAAATCGTAGAATTTGCTGCTAGGGCAGAAGCTGGCTGGCATCACCCCTCAGTGTGTATTGTAGATTGCCATCATCATCCCCTCCCCAGCTGGATAAATTGGAACTCCTCACAGAAGAATGCTCCAGGACCAGGGCTGAGGCAGAGGCAGGGCAAGGCAGCAGGCTTTATAGGTAGGGTAGTCATTCTGGATTCAACTGAGGAATTTTGGAGACATTTTCAATTACATACACAGCCCACTCTCAACAGAAATCCCTGCCCCTGGAGTCTGCCTTGCTTTTAGTTCCTACCCCAGCTCTGACCTTATCTCTAATCTACTCCTTCTACTCAGCAGGTTCCAGCAATTCTGGCCTTCTCTTTGTTTGTTTGTTTCTTCCCAGTCTGGGAGCCTTTGCACTTGCTCGTCACTGGAGTTGGAACCCACTGCTTAGATTTGCCAATGACACTCATTCTCTTTGTTCAAGTCGCAGCTCAAATGTTACTGTATAAATTTCTATTGCTTCATAATAAATTATCACAAACTTAGCATCTTAAAAACACCACCCATTTATTATCTCATAGTTCTGTAGTTCAGAAGTCCAGGCTGACTCAGCTGACTCAGGTCCTCTACTTAGGGTCTCATAAGGCTGAAGTCAAGGTTTCAGCCAGCATGGATTCTCTCTGGAGTCTCTGGTGTAGAATCAACTTTCAGACTCTACCGGGTTTTTACTGAATTCAGTTCCATTTGGCTGTAAAACTGAAGTCCTCGTTTCTTTATTAGCTGTCAGCCAAAGGTTGTTCTTACCTTCTAGAGGCAATCTATATTCCTTGTTGGGCCCCCTCCATCTTCGAAGTTGGCAATAGCACTTCAAGTCCTCTTGCTTCAAATTTCTCTGACTTCTCATTCTGTTTTCCTCTTGTTACTAGCTGGAGAAGCAATGTAATTACATTGGACCCATCTGAATAATTCAGTATAATCTCTCTATCTTAAGATCAACTGATTAGTAGCCATAGTTATATCTGCAGTCTTTTTTGCTATGTAAGGTAACATATTCATAGAGATTAGGGTATGGAATCTTTGGGGGCTATTATTCTCCTTACCACAGTTTATCCTCTAGCCCTCAAAACTTCACATCTGTCTCATATACAAAGTACATCCGGTTCCTCCCAAGGTCCCTAAAAGTCTTATCCCATTACAGCATCAAGTCAGAGTCAAAAAAAATTCTCATATAAATCTCATCAAACCAAAGTCTCAAATCTCATTATCTAAATTAGATGCAGGTGAGGCTCTAGGTATAAGCCATCCTGGAGTGCAATTCTCATCTATGGGTCTATGAAACTAAAGAAACATGTCATGTGCTCCTAACATGCAATGGTGGAACAGATGTAGAATAATAGTTATAAACGTTCTGGTTCAAAAAAGGGAGAAATGTAAGGTAAAAAGGTGTCACTGATTCAAAGCAATTTCAAAATTCATCTGAGCAAATTCTCTTAGGTTTCCAGGCCTAGAAATAATCCCCGTGGACCTGTTCTGCCCTCTGAGCTCTTAGCTCTGCCCTTTGGATTAATCACTTTCCCTTAAGAAGCCATCTCTGACTAACTATTAAAACAGCCATCTCCATTGTCATTTTTTTTCACATCATGCTGCTTAATTTTTTAATAATACATATCATGGTTTTGGAATATTTTAGCTATTTCTATACTTATCCTCATCAGTAAAATATAAACTCTATGAAAGCAGAGACCTTTTCTGTATTTTCACCTTTATTTCTCCAGCACCTGCCATAATGCCTGGAACTTAAGTCTTACTCAATAAATATTTTATGAATAAATGAACAAATGAGTTAAATGTGAAATGGGGCGATGTGGTAGGCTGAACAATGGCCCCCTAAATCTGTCCACATCCTAATCCCTGAAACCTGAAAATGTTATCTTATATGGCAAAAGAGATTTTGCAGACATGACTCAGGTAAGGATCATGAGATGGGAGATTATCCTGGAGTATTCAGGCGGGAAGGTAATCACAAGATTATAAGGGGGAGACAGGAAAGTCAGCATCAGAGGAGAGGGTGATGTGATGATACAAGCAGAGATTGGTAGGATGTGCTTTGAAATTGAGGATAGGGCCACTAGCCAAGGAATGCAAGCATCCATTAGAAGCTGCAAAATGCAAGCAAATTGTTCCTCCAGAAGGAACCGGCCCTGCCAACTACTTGACTTTAGCCCAGTGAAACTAATTTTGGACTTCTGACTTGTAAAATAAACTTATGTTGTTTTAAGCCACTAAGTTTGTGGTCATTTGTGACAGCAGTAATGGGAAACCAGTGCAATTGGGATGGATTAACACTCATAGTGTGTGACTGCAACTGCTGGCAGTCCCCCGATATTTGTTCTTCCAGAATGGGACTGCTTCCTGGAATAGTTCCCTAGTTCCCCGAGAACTTTTATCTGAGTAAAATGATGCTCAGAGTAAAGCTTATATTTCTCAGCATCCCTTTCAGCTGGATGTGGCCATGTAACAACATTCTGGCCAAAAGGATTAGAGCAAAAATTATCTGTACAAGTTCTACACTTTAGGGTAAAGGGCAAGCCAGTCCCTTCACTTTTCTGCTTCCCAAGGGCTAGACTGTGGGAGTGGTGGTGGTCCATCTTGGATCATGTGTGTGAGGGCAATACTCCAGGGATGGAATAGCAACAAGATAAATAATAATTTTATCATTCATGGGTCCTGATAACTTTATTCAAAGACCCACCATGCTAACTTGGAATTTTATACAAGAGAAAAATAAACTATCTTGTTTAAGCCGTGGTTAGTTTGGGTTTCTGTTTCATGCAGCTGTACCCACACATAAACTAGTACAGAATTTCCTATCCATTATGTTGAGGCTTCTTGGAAAGGTAGACATCCGTGCAGTTAAGGAGAGTTTGGGCTTTACTTTTACAGACATGACTCAGGTAAGGATCATGAGATGGGAGATTATCCTGGAGTATTCAGGCGGGAAGGTAATCACAAGATTATAAGGGGGAGACAGGAAAGTCAGCATCAGAGGAGAGGGTGATGTGATGATACAAGCAGAGATTGGTAGGATGTGCTTTGAAATTGAGGATAGGGCCACTAGCCAAGGAATGCAAGCATCCATTAGAAGCTGCAAAATGCAAGCAAATTGTTCCTCCAGAAGGAACCGGGCCTGCCAACTACTTGAATTTAGCCCAGTGAAACTAATTTTGGACTTCTGACTTGTAAAATAAACTTATGTTGTTTTAAGCCACTAAGTTTGTGGTCATTTGTGACAGCAGTAATGGGAAACCAGTGCAATTGGGATGGATTAACACTCATAGTGTGTGACTGCAACTGCTGGCAGTCCCCCGATATTTGTTCTTCCAGAATGGGACTGCTTCCTGGAATAGTTCCCTAGTTCCCCGAGAACTTTTATCTGAGTAAAATGATGCTCAGAGTAAAGCTTATATTTCTCAGCATCCCTTTCAGCTGGATGTGGCCATGTAACAACATTCTGGCCAAAAGGATTAGAGCAAAAATTATCTGTACAAGTTCTACACTTTAGGGTAAAGGGCAAGCCAGTCCCTTCACTTTTCTGCTTCCCAAGGGCTAGACTGTGGGAGTGGTGGTGGTCCATCTTGGATCATGTGTGTGAGGGCAATACTCCAGGGATGGAATAGCAACAAGATAAATAATAATTTTATCATTCATGGGTCCTGATAACTTTATTCAAAGACCCACCATGCTAACTTGGAATTTTATACAAGAGAAAAATAAACTATCTTGTTTAAGCCGTGGTTAGTTTGGGTTTCTGTTTCATGCAGCTGTACCCACACATAAACTAGTACAGAATTTCCTATCCATTATGTTGAGGCTTCTTGGAAAGGTAGACATCCGTGCAGTTAAGGAGAGTTTGGGCTTTACTTTTACTCTTTTTTCTTTTGGGCAATTTCTTTGTAATGATGCCATTGTGGTCTTAAGATGTATGTGAAATTGACATTTACCAGGAACCAAGTTGATGCTAAAAGGTCTGGGGCCCCATCCCCCTATTATTTTTCTAGTTCCCATGAATAGCTACCACTAGTTGCCAAGAACTAACAAGAATCATGAAGGCTCCCTGGACCTGATGGTAAATATTTCTGAACAAGGGGCAAAGGCTCAGACCTCATAGCATCACAACAGCTCATTTTAGTATGCCAACTGTCATGGTGATAGGAAAGGAGAACTGAATAGAGAGCTTCTGCAATATGGAGGGAGTTTTTATCAGTCAGCTAGGATCAAGTTATGCTGCAGTAACAACCCCAAAATCTCAGTAGCTCACAACAACATGTGTTTTTCTCACTTATAATCCATGTCCTCCATGGTAACTGTGGCTCTGTTCTACATCATCTTTATTCCAGAATCCAGTCTGAAGGAACAGCCTCAATCTGGAACTTTCATTCTCAAGAAAGAGAAGAGAGGAAAGTTGGCACACCCCACAATGGCTCCTAAAATTTCTTAGAAGCAGAAAGCTATAAAGAAGCATAAAGCAAGCTATATGCCCAAAGCTGATGTTGGTGTAGTGGGATATTTAAATTCTTTGTATGGTGGGGTCCCATAGGGATGGCCAATGAATGTTTCTGAACAATTGTAAAATCTTCCCCAGTCTGCCAGCCTTATCACAAATACTGCCCGTGTTTTCCCCATGTGCTAAATAAATGCATCCCCTTCTCACCCAAATGACTGATCTAATCATGGCATCAAGTTCAAGTCCAGGTCCTCTATTAGTCTCTATATCAGGTCCAGATATGACTTCTCTTGATCCAGAGACCTATGAACCAATAAATTAAAGTAAGTTACATCTGCCCCCACAACCACATCCAACTTTGAAGTGAAACAGGGACAGAATAATAGCAGTAAACACACCTATTCAGAAAATAGAATGAGATATATGCACCAGTTAGTGGTCCATAGTAATTCTAAAATCCTTCTGGGCAGATGTTGAGAAGGCCCCCCACCCTTCCCTGGGAATAGGACTGTGTCTTGGGACTATACCTAGTTCATTCTTCTCCATGTCCTTGTCTCTGTCCTTAGAGTGGCCCATCCTTTTCTACTTACTCTCCTTGGCCACATTTGAGAAAATATTGGAAGTTATGCCTTTCTGAGGTAGAGAAGCTTTCTCAGTCTCCTTCATGCCCATAGAAATTTGGAGGCCATCAAGGTCATATTAAATTTTGAACATTCAGTCTTAAAAATCCAAGCTAATGGCTTTTTATGGAGGAGAGGGCTTCTTATCTATTTAATTTCAGTCAGTTCCATGGGCCAACAGCCAAATTCACAATTCTTTTCAGACATGCCTCCATTTAGACTTAATTATAAGCAAATGGAGCATACAAACACCCCTGAGGGAGTTATACTCTTAATCTCTTTTCTCTGAATCACCTTGACTAACTGAAAGGATTTATTGGGAACCACTTTGACAGATTCAGAGGTTTTAAAAAAGACATGAGAGCCATACACTTGATATGGTCCTTGCCACAAAGATGAGATTTAATAAAAATTTGTGGCTTAAGGGCCTTGTAAGTTGTATCTTTCACTGGTTAAAATGTGGATCACTTGCATAGAGTTTCTATATTCTCTTCCACTTCTGCTTACAAACTAGCCAATTATTTTCTGAGGCTACTCTTTCTTACAGTAACTTGTCAACTGTAACCAATAGCAACCAAGACACACTACTAATATTCTTTCCCAAATTTTTTGCCTAAAGTCCCAAGCTCATTTAGAATTTATATTCTTAGTTACTTCTTCTAGCTTACAGTTTAACCAAATGTTTTACGTAAGTTTAATATAAAGTTTGTTACACTTCACCACTGTAGAACACACTTCACCATCTTTCCAACTTCCAGTGATGGTTTCCTCACCAGCTACTGTCCAGCTCCAAGGCCAAAGTCACATAATTCAGGTTTATTTTTATTGTGGCAGCACTCCACATCTGGGCACTAGTTTTGTAACAGTTAATTTAGACTTATTATGATGTGGTAATAACCAACCTCCAAGTGTCAGTGGCTCACAACAAGAGAAGTTTATTTCTCATTTACATCACACATCATTTTACAGGTGAGCTACAGTACAATATCATGTCATCTTAATTCTGGGTTCCAGGATGAAGAAGTCTTGATCTGGCAATTTCCAGGCTCAAGGCAGAGGTAAAAGAGAAAGGAAACTGCCAGACTACTTGTTGGTGCTTAAAGCTTCTATTTACATTTCTGCTTATATTACATGGGCCAAACCAAGTCATGTAGACAAGCCTATTGTAAATGGGGCAAGCCTATTGTATAGTTCTCCTATAGTGAGGGACCCAGTAGGAAAGACAGCATATATTTGTAACAATAATATAATCTACCAGAAATGTCAATCATCGAGCTCGTCCACTCCTTTATACACACTCTGCTGCAGTATTTTGTATACTGTAACATCACATACATCTTGAGCAAGAATAAAGTCTTGACTTAAGGTAGATATATCATAGGAAGGTCTATATAGCCTGACCTAGACCAATCATGTCCCTTTGCTTAGAAATTTGAACTATGAAACATTGAGTGAACAAGGCCATACGTGGAGAGAGCTGCAGCTGAAAGATTGTGATGCAAGATGGATTTAGAAAAGCCACAACTAACCAAGACTCTGATTTTTGAAAGTTGGACTGATAGCAGCCAAGCCAAGATTTCAGTGCAAATCATGTAGTTTTTGACATGACATAACCTCATTCATGTCAGTTTTCCACAGGGAATGGGTATACACAAGGGAGCCTGTGAAATCTCCAGTGCATGGGGCCCCTTGTCTGGTAGGTCTGCTCTAAACTTATCACTCACCTGTTCAAAAACCTTCCATGGGTCCCCTAGCCCACAGGAAAAGTTCAAACTACTGAGCCTAGCATCCGAGGTCTCCGCTTGGCCATCTAGCCACCTTTCCCAGGAGGTTCTGGACAGCTTTCTGCATGAGACAAGAAAGCAGCTTTTCAGGGATGGCACTGTCCAGAATGGCCAGGCAGAAGTCACACACAGCACATGGACACCAGGGCTGTACATATATGGCATAGATACTCTGTCAGATCCTAGTAGGTGTCACGGGTTATGTAGTTTTACTCTGAAGTCAGAAAGGTGAGGAAGCAAAAAAAGGAGACCAATAGGACAGGATTCTGCTGATGATACAGGCTGCAGGAGAAGAAATGGAGAATCAGGGAAGCCCAAAGGCCCCATGTCCAAATCAGTCTTCTACTGGGGCAGAATCCAGGGATCGAGGGCATAATTTCTCCATCGAGTGGACATCAGATTATTTATATACTGCTGAGAATGAGCTCTTTCCTGCAGGAGTCTAGAGTTTCACCTATACTCAACACATGATCACAGGCAGGAGGAAGGCGTGCGTTCTCTCCCAGACTTGCGTAGCCACAGGTTCAGTGGCTAGGGAGTGGGACCCAGCCACGCCTTCTCATGTGAATTCCCTGAATCCCTGTCCCTGCCAGTTTCTTGTAAGCCCAAAACCTTCCACCACTTTTGCAGGTTTGATCATGCCCCCTGCACTCTGTGATCCAGTCAAAAATCACTTTTGAGCGTGACTACAGACTCACTCTCAAGCCCCACGAATGTCAGCATCCTACATCTAATTGCTGTTTAACACTGGAGTGTTCAGTCCCCTCAGGATGCTCTCCAGACCAATCCCAAGGCTCTTCAGGTGTGCATTTGGGTCCGCTGGACAATCAATCATTTTGCAGTTGTGACCTGGGACTGCTGCTCCAGGCCTCTTCAGGGACACTGGGAGGCACTGCAGAAGTGCACCCAGCCATAGATGGAGACAGAGTAAGCAGGGGCTGTTCATCCATGGCGCAACCCCACCCTCCCCCATCCCAAGTCCAGGGCCGAGATCCAAGATTGAACCATAGACATCACATCTAGCCCTTCCACTGCATCCACAGTAGGTGGCCAGTGGCGGAAGCAACAAGTACTGTCTGTGGCCAGATGGACTGGGCAGCCAAGAACAGCAGTGGCAGCAGCAGCAGCAAGAGGCCTGTGGGGCTGAAAGTGGGATGGGACAGGGTGGTCTAACCTGGCCCAGACCTTGGACCAGGCCAGGCACGGCCCCACTCCAACCAGGTTTGGGAACCAGGAGCCAGTTTAAGGCTCGGCCCTGAAATCAGGTGTCTAGGGACAGGCGCCACACCCAGCTCCAGAAACTAAGCATATGGACTTGGAACTCAGAAATGTAAAGTCAAGGCTAGAGCTCAGATGCCTCATAGAAACCAGGCTCCTCTGCCTCCTCCACCCGCCTCAGCCACATGACCCCTTAGAAACCAGGTGTGCTGATCCGGAGTTGCTGGCCCTCCAGGCTGAACTCTGGCCTGCCTGCAGGGCACTCTTCCTGGCAACCTCTCCCCCTGTGTCTTCCTATAATTGGATCCTCATTTAACATTTCAATACTCAAGTGTCACCCCCTCTAAGATGGGCCCTTCCTTGTCTTCTGTATCCAAAGTAACAGCCTCAGTTACTCAAACTGCCTCTTCTTGGCCTCAGGAATACCTACCGATGTCCCGTCCTGCCAGATCTCACCTGTGTCCCAGCCTGGCCTGTCCCAGCCTCACTGCTTTGGGTTGGTTACTCACATTGGTCCTTCCCCAGGGACAGTACTGAGCCAGATGTTATCCCCTCCCAGCCCTACCCATTCCTACAGGAGAGTAGCAGGGCAGTGCCAGCTGCTGTGGTCACACCACCTAGAACAGTCTGATTGGAACCTGCCTGGGCTAGGGCTGGCCCCCAGGATGGCCAGGAGGTGGGAGGCTACATACCTGGGGGCCCAGGGCCAGCCCTTCTAGGAACACACAAGCACAGGGGAGTCTCCAACCTCTTTTCTTTAATTTCTTACAAACCATGTGTCCCAGCCAAGCAGGATACCACAGCACCCACCCCCCACCCCCCCACCACCAGGCATTGTGGCCCTAGGCGGGGGGGGGGCATGAACGAGTGGCAGCCGACCCAAGGAGAACCGTCTGTCCCTTTGCACAGTGCAAGCATGAGTAAGGGGGTCCAGCTGGAGGCTCTGTCCTGCCCCTCCCAACCCAGCTGCTG